CCCCTTTCTGTCAGCTTGTACAGAGGAGGAGACTGGGTACACAAACTTGATATCAAAAGAGAATAGTAGTGAGGGGTGGAGGAGTGAGCTGTGAGCAAAAACAAGGACTCTAGTCACAGAGACAAAGGAAAGGATGAAGGGTGGGAGAAGGGACAAGCTGTGTGTGTGACAGCTTTTGTTTCCTCTTGGGAAGGTGGGAGGCAAGGTTGTCTGCTAAGAATTAGATGGTGGACAAATTGGATAGGAGTTAAGAGAGTGACATCATTTAAAAGGCAAGTTGCCGAGGTAATTAGGTGCGAGCCTAAAGACAAGCGGTAGGAATGGTAAATTTTTGAGGTGCCCTGTACAAGATTTTGTGGGGTCATAGTTCTGATAAATGGCATCATTTTCTCTAGCAGTGATCAGGTGCCGGTTATCAGAATGCTGGATGCCAGCCTAAGGAGATCTTCTAAGCCACTGGATCCCAGGTCCCGCCCACCAGAACCTCCTAGAAATCTTCCCTAAAGCACAGATTCCACAGAATCACTGCCCAGAGATTCAGATCCTGAATCCGTGGCGAGGCCTGGAAAGCTGTGTTTTTAATTAGCTCCTACTGATCCCCACATAGCCAGGTAAGAGTTGGCAGGTTCTGAAGAGGTTTCTTTTTTCCATTTTATTGAGGTCCAATTGACAACTAGGAATTATATATATTAGTTATATATATTTTAGGTGTTCAACTTGATGTTTTGGTATATGTATACATTGTGAAATGATTGCACAATCAAGCTAATTAACATATCCAATTCCCACGGTAGTTAGAGTCTTTGTGTGTATATGGGTTGAGATCATTTGAGACCTACCCTCAACAAATTTCAAGTATGCAATACAGTATTGTTAACTATATCAGCATGCTGTACGTTAAGATCTCCAGAACTTACTCATCTTGGATAACTGAAAATTTCTACCCTTTGACCAATAGCTCCCATTTATACCTCTCTCTAAGCCCTCGTTACCACCATTCTATTCTATGCCTCTGTGAGTTTAACTATCTTAGATTCCACATGGAAGTGAGATCATGCAGTATTTGCCTTTCTGTGTCTGCCCTATTTTACTTAGCATATAGCTAATTAGCATATGTATTATGTATAATATATAAACAGTACATTGCATATATTGTATATATTCATACATATATACAATGGATATATATTCAGAAGTGGGATTACTGGACGTATGGTAGTTTTATTTTTAATTTTTTGAGGACCTTCTATACTGTTTTCCATAATGGCTGTACCAATTTGCATTCCCACTACCAGTGTACAAGGATTGCCTTTTCTCCACATCCTCAGCAACACTTACCTTTTGTCTTTTGATAATAGCCATCCTAACAGGTATGAGATCACATCTCTCCTCTTATGTCAAGGAGGTTTCTACCTATGTTTTCTTCTAGGATTTCATGGTTTCAGGTCTTACATTGAAGTCTTTAGTCCATTTTGAGTTGATTCTTGCACATGGTGTGAGACAAGGGCCCAGTTTCATTATTCCGTATATAGATATCCAGCGCTCCCAACAATATTTATTGAAGAGACTCTCCTTTCCCCCCTGCGTGTTTTTGAAACTCTTTTGAAGACCAACTGACTGTAGATGCACTGATTTATTTCTGGGCCCTCTATTCTGTTCCATTTGCCTATATGTCTGTTTCTATACCAGTACCATACTGTTTTGATTGCTTTGTATTATATTTTGAAATTGGGCAGGCCTCTTTCCCATGGGGCTGGGGAGGTCCCTTTTCTCCTTAGCCAGGGCTGGAGGCCAAGATCAGCCCTTGAGGGTCATTGTCAGGGCTGCCACAAGCTGGCAGCCTTGTTTTCCTGCCTCAGACATGTGGAGTTGCTGGGAGCCCCAGTTGGTCTATACCAGGCATGCTGACCCCCTAGCCAGACTAGGGTCTGAAGTGGCAGCATGGGGCCTCTGGCTCTCTTTAGGTAGTCCAGGCTCTCATGAGCTGATCCTGACCTATGTTGCCCCAAAAGTACCTTGGCCCCCTGCCTACCCCATAGACAACACCTAACAAACACACCTAAACAGGTAGTCATGTACCACAAAGATGCCTGTGAGGGAGTAGGACCTCTCACCTCCTGCTGTCCTACTAAACAATTTCTTTGGCCCTGGGGGATATCACTGGGGGAGGAGATGATGTCCGAAAGAGGGGACTTCTGTTGTAGAAGGGGCATCCAAGGTCACCTAACTCAGGGAGAATCACCATTTTTCCCTGTGTGGATTAGCTTAGGTGTGGACAGGCCACTCCATCCACCCACTCAGAGCTGTCTCCTGCATAGAGTCCCGTACAGGACTGTGAGGTGTGGAATGGTGAGGAAGAGCTGTGAGTGGGTGCCGGAGAAGGAAGAGCACCACAGGCGTCAGGGCAAAGAGGTCAGATCTGACAGTACACCAGCCGCAAGTGCAAGCCCCACTTCTAAGTAGTTAGCTGTATTAACTGGACAGCTTGGGCTCCCCAACAGTGCAAATGGGAAAAGTATTCTGTGTTGAAATACCTATGTCATCAGCTGGCAAAATAATGTTTTAGAAAAGTTGTCAAGTTCTCACAGGTTTTCTTCACTAGTAAAAGTTCTGAAAGCATTTTCTTTTGTTCTAAAAGCAATAAACTACTTTCTGTGGGGGAAAAACCTAGAAAATGTGATGCTTTATTGTTCTTATTGCTCAAAACTATTTTGGCTATTTGGGGTCTTCTGAGTTTTATGTAATTAAGATTATTTTTTCTATTTCTGTAAATAATTCCATTGGGATTTTGACAGGAATTGCACTGAATCTATAAATTACCTTGGGTAGTCTGGACCTTTTAACAAATCCTTCCAATCCATGAACATTGAGGTCTTTTCTTTTATCTGTGTCTGCTTTGATTTTCTTCATCAGTGTTTTACAATTTTCAGTGGACAGGTTTTTCATCTCTTTGGTTAAGTTTATTCCTAAATATTTTGGTCTGTTTGTTGCTATGTGATTAAGACTGTTTCCTTAATTTTCTTTTCAGATAGTTCATTGTTAGTGTAAAGAAACATCACAGATTTTCACACGTTGGTTGTGTTTCTTACAACTTTACTAGATTCATTTATTAGTTCTAATAGTTTTGTTGTTGTTGAGTCTTTGGAGATTTCTACATATATGATCATGTCATCTGAAAACAGAGGTAAATTTATTTCTTCCATTCTGTTTTGGATGCCTTTCATTTCTTTTTCTTGTCTAATTCCTTTAGCTAGGATTTCGAGTACTGTGTTGAATAGAAGTGGCAAAAGTGGGTGTCTTTGCCTTGTATCAGATCTTAGAAGAAAAGCTTTCAGGTTTTCTTTATTGACTATGATGTTAGCTGTAGGCTTTTAATATATGGCCTTTATTGTCTTGAGGTTGAGTTCCTCTACATCTATTTTGCTGATAATGTTTGTCCCATATAGATGTTGTCAAATGCTTTTTCTGTGTCTATTCATCTATGGTGAGATGGTCATGTTTATCTTTCATTCTGTTAATATGCTGTGTCACATTGATTTGACATTATTGAACCATCTTTTCATCCCACAGATAAATCCCACTTGGTCATGGTGTATAATCCTTTTAATGTGCTGTTGAATTGGTTTGCTAATGTTCTATTGAGTATTTTAACATCTGTGTTCATTAGGGATATTGGTCTGTGGTTTTTCTTTTCTTGTATTATCTTTATCAGGCTTTGGTATTAGGGTATTGCTGGGCTCATAAATGGTTTGGAAGTGTTCCCTGTATTTTTTTGGAAGAGTTTTAGATGAATTGGTTTTAATTCTTCTTTGAATGTCTGGTAGAATTCACCCATTAAGCCATCTGGTCCTGGGCTTTTCTGTTGGGGGGTTTTCTATTACTCCTTCAATTGTCTTATTATTCATCTGTTCAGGCTTTCCATTTCTTCTTGATTCTATCTTGTTATATGTTTCTAGGAGCTTTTTCATTTCTTTTAGGTTATCCAATTTGTTGGTATATAATTATTCATAAAGTTCTCTAGGATCTTGTTTATTTCCATGGCATCCATTTAATGTCCCCTTTTTCATTTCTGATTTGATTTATTTCCGGATTCTCTCTTTTTTCTTAGCCTAGTTAAGGGTTTATCAAATTTTTTTTATCTTTTCAAAAGACCAATTCTCAGTTTTGTTGATATCCTCTATCTTTATCCTCTATCTTATTTATTTCTGTTTTATTAGTTCTTTCTATCTACTAACTTGGGGTTTAGTCTGTTATTTTTCTAGTTCCTTGAAGTGTAAAGTTAGGTTATTTGAGATCTCCTAACTTCAGTGAGCAGCTTAATGACCATTATTTTGAATTCTCTGTTGAGTAAACTACATATTTCTATTTCATTAGGATTGATTTCAAGAAATTCATATTGTTCTTTTGTTTGGAACATATTTCCCTGTTTCTTCATTTTCCTTGACTCTGTGTTGGTATCTATGCATTAGACAAAACAGCCATCTCTCCTAGTCTTCATGTACTGGCCTCATACAGGAGAAGACCCTTACCAATCATCCTAATCAAAGATTCACTTATTCTCTGTTGTCCCCAGGAGACTAGCAAATTCCAGCCCCTCTGCTATGGACAGGCTTTTAGAAGCCAGATCCTCAGTCAACAGCTAGAAAAATCAGGGTGCTGGATGTGCATGTGCAGTCTAATTCCTTCCACAGAGAAGCTGGGGGCTGGATTTTATCACCTGCTCACTCTGTGCTGAGCCACGGGGAGGAGCTACAAGAAGTGCTTGCACGCCCATTCAGTTTAGTTTTGTTGGGGTATTTTCTCACTTTCCCAGTACACACAAAGCAGAAATATCACAGGGAACAATGGTCATGGGTGTAGTTACTGTACCTTTACCTGACTCAGCTGCGCCCTAGAATATTTGTGCGTAGAAAAGGAAAAACTAAATTATTAAGGATCTAGAAGCTCTGCTTTGGGAAATTGCTCTGAATTTTGTGTAGAGGACTTTCTGCCTTCTGGAGAAAGATACTCAAAAGAAGTAACTGCCCTTGGAAACTGACCTATGAGCACCACAGAAGATGAAGGAGAAGAGGGACATCAAGCAGAGAAATGAGGAGGTACAGACAACTCCTGATTATTTGTGGGATTCTTCAAGGAACCTGAGAAGACATATTGCAAAAGAGGAGCTTAAAGGGCTGGTATGCTTACTGATGACGCATGTAGGAGCTCAGAATACTGGGTTTGGGAATATCACTATAAATATGAAGATTTTAGATTTTTGTGGAAAAAATATTTAAGTTATTTAAAGAATAAGCTATATCAAACTTGCTTAATTTCCTTCATTTTTTAAAAAAATAAAGTTATTAGATTCATAAAACAAGAGAATGCTATTGTCTGTATATTTAATTTTAAGAAATTATTTGAGCAAGTTTTTCATCCTTTTCATCAAGATAAACATTGAAAACGTAGGTCATTTCACAGCTGGTTATATATTCTTTTCCCAAAGGCTATTATTCACTGACTTACAGTTAAAATTTCTGCTAAATGTGCCACAAAGTGCCGCCTTGTCTCTCTCCCATTCTTCTCAATCCTTATTATATAATTCAAGGTCATGAATATTCCATTTGAAGGTTTATTTCCATCTGTTCAGTACCACCCATATCAACTAGCCTAATTATATCATTTATATTTTAAACATCTAGAAATCAACTCTATAACAAAAATGTCTAAGAAGTAATAATCTCATGTACCATTAGCTTTTTTTCTCTTTACAATTCTTAGTCAAGCCTAAAATGAACACCTCCCCTTTGAAGAAAGGACCCCTATAGCCCCTCAGCCTTCTCATCTACCATGTGACAGATTTCTATCCAGGCCACATTAAACCCCACTGGTTCCTAAATGGACAGGAGGAAAACAGCTAGGGTATGTCCACCAACCTGATCTGTAATAAAGACTGGATCTTCCAGATCCTGGTGATGTTGGCAATGACCCTTCAGCAGGGAGATGGTTGGGCCTGCCAAGTCCTGTCACTTGGAGTGGAGTGAGTTATGCCCGGATAACTGTGTGGGCTCCCAATTCTGAAGAACAGGGGACGTTCTAGCTCTGGGGTCCACTCATCTTTGTGTGTACACTGCTGTCATATCTACCCCCATCTTTTTCCTAGAGAAGTCCCTGAGAATAGTTCAGAGCTGTGGCTGCAGAGGTTTGGCTACTCTGACCTAGGGGATGCTAAGGATTCATAGATCTCTGCTCGGGTCAGAAAACGTAGGAAACTCAGACACCTTCCTGAATTACCCTCACACATGGGAACTGTTCTCTGCCTTGGTCTTTTAGTTTAGTGAGTTATTTTGAGAGGCAGCTACCAGAATTAGCATGTGTGTCCTTTTTGAAGTCACAGTCTAATTTCTAGAACTTGGGGGTCTTTTCTAAATTTCCTCTTTCTCCAAGGTATGTATCTCTCATAGCCTTCATATTGATACTCTAGAATCAGACAGTACCTGAGGCGGAGGGTGGGACTGACCCTAGTCTGTGTTTCCCAGAGGCACACTGATTCTTGCCAGAGAAATGCTGGTTAGAATCTTGGGCTTTGTGCTGGGGCTCATCTACCTTGTAGTGGACATCTTAGTGCCCGTGAGGATCAAGATAAGTAAGAAAACCTGAGAAGTAGCTGAGGTTTGCTTTCCCGGAGGCCACTGAAATCAGATTGTCAGGGGGCAGAAATGGCCTGGAGGGAGAGAGAAATTCCCAGGCTGGAATCTTACCCCAACCAGACACATGGGGGCTGCAGATACTCAGGTCATGCCCGAGTTCAGTTAGTAACAGATGAGTCCAACCAGCCCCTGCCTTACTTCAGGGTTCTGACCATGACAATGGAAATGAGATGGGAACGTTTATCTAACTGTCTAAGATATTTTTAATGGCTAATTACATCCCCTTTTCTCCTTTTACTTTCACATAATGAGGATCTTGAAAACCAATTAATACCCTGGCTTTGTTTTTCTTTGGGGAGGGGTTGCAGAAAGTCTTTTCATTGCACCGTGACTCTGAAGCATCTACTGGGAAGGGGGTCTCAGTCCTGAACCTCTCTTTCAACTTCAGCCCGTTAGCAAGTGTGGAAAATGAACGTTACTTTACTCCATTGATGAAGGAAGCCCAGAGAAACTCTTATTTTTCATCAGGCTAAGCCTCGGTCTCTCAGCAAAGTTTTCTTTCCTGAGACTTAGAGAAAGAGAGGTCAGCAACCTGAGATAACTATATTTTTTCCTTTTACCTCCACAGGGTTCCTGATCTGACCTGAAGACAGGCATGTGCCCTGGAACAAGCATTTTTCTATCTTTCCTCAGTCCCAGAGGCAGGTTCTGGGACAGACTTCAGCCTCCCAAGAGGATGTTACTGCCAAGTAATTGCTCCAAAACTAGTTTCTATAGTTGTTCTCTTTGATTTCATGCACACTTTCTCTCGGGGCCTGTATCCAAGTTCCCTTTTGGAGTTCCATAAATAATAAAAAGCCATTGTTCTTGTCTGTTTTAAGAATATTCCCCAATCCATCTCTGCCATTGCTTTTGTTTGAGGGTTTTGGTAAAAAGACTAGGAGTTCATGAAGAAGTTCATTGTTGTGTATACACAGGCAAGAAGGAAACCCCGTAAAGGAGATATCCTGACTCTAGGGAAAGGTGGCAGCTTGGACATGGACCTCCTCTGAATTCACCCTCTATCTTTGGGCTGCACAAAGATAGTGATTTATGTTTGTTACCTTTATCCCTGTAGGTCTGGGACCATTCTTAGTTATTCTACGATGAGCAGACGGTGAATTTCATGTTATGTGACCTATATTCACACAGCACTGATTCAATATATAACTTATGAAGAACGTATTTTACCATTACCATTAAGAAATCAAATTAAGTGGTGCCTGGTGGTTCAGTTGAATGAACATCTGACTATTATTGTGGCTCAGGTCACAATCTTGGTCCTGGGACAGAGTCCTGCATCAGGCTCGCAGCTAGCAGGGATATCTGCTTAAGGATTCTCTCTCTCCTCCCTCTGCCCCACCCCTAAAATAAATAAATCTTTTTTAAAAAGAAATCAAATTAAGATCAGAATTTAAAATTGGAAATATAATGTAATAAACTTAAATAAATCCTTTTCTTTGCACACCATGATGAATAGTCCTTGACCAAACAAGGCTTAGCCTTTTTAATGCAACAAGTTATAGAAGACACAGGTTTATGCTTTAAGTTTGTAGTCATCAGACATTCCAGGCCTCCTGTCTTAGTAATTCACAGTGTTAAAATGCTCAAAGCAGTCGATGCGGTTCTCTTTTTTAAACATTTTTTTTACAATCCAAAGTGATTTGGGGTTTTCTGTTTTGTATGAAATTATTTTGAAAGTCGAGGTAAGTTCTAAGTGGTCCTTTTTGCATAAAATATAGAGTATTACCCCTGGAGCACATACTGAGCGTTCAGAAGAACTCTGGCACACCGAGGTGGTGCCTCCTCTCTCCTTAGCTCCTTGCAAGCAGCATCTGCATCTCGTTCGCCCCCTGGTTCCCGCCCCTTGTCGGTTCCCACTGCTCACTCCTCTCAGGCTGCTCCCCTCCCATCATGCCCCGCGTGGGACTAGCTTCCCCCATTTCCAAGAGAGGTGGAGACTGAGGGTGCAGACTTGGGGGTTACTGAGCCAGGAGTAAGCATAGCTGGGGCCTGCAGAAAGGACTGGATGATTAGTGAGGGCCCTGAGCACAGCGAATCCACCGTCACTCCCATAACCTGTTAGGTGCGCGCATTGCTCCATTTAACCCTCATAATTCAAGGTGTTTTCTTTTCCTTTTCTATTCCAGGTGCCTCTGCAGTGGCCACTGTGAGCCAGGCGGTGAGGAGAAAATGAGGCCGAGCAGGGCATGAAGGAGCTCTGAATCCAGGACTTATTTCCCTTTCTGGTGGAAGGAGAAGGGGTGGGAGTGAAACAGCTCAGCGGGACCAGAAAACGTCAGGAGGGACGTCTCCGCGTCTGGGAAAGAGGCGAGAACCGACATGGCTGAGAAAGTCCTAACCTAAGTGGGGTTCAGGGATAAGAGGAAGAGAACAAAAGTGGAGACATGATAATCACCTTCCTTTTAATGGGATCAATTGGAAATACATCTATGAAATTGATCCTGGAGTATTTTTTATTTGTAGTAACTTTTGTGAATGGATAATTTTCTTCATAATTTTATGTTGATTTTTTGTACCATATAAGAATCCACTTGCTTATTTTTAAGTAATGTTATATTTTACCCTCTCATTCTTTTGATAATCTTGGAGGACTCTGCTGTTTCCAGACATGGAATCAAAATGCAAAAAATACTGTTTCATTTCAATTACTACTTTTATTTCTTCTTGAAATTTTTATCTTCTTTATACAAGATTAATATTTTACTACTTAGTCTAAAATTAACTCTGCTTTATAAATTCTTTTTTTTTTTTTTTTTTTTTAATAAATTTATGTATGGGTGCCTGGGTGGCTCAGTGGGTTAAAGCCTCTGCCTTCGGCTCCGGTAGTGATCCCAGGGTCCTGGGATCAAGCCCCACATCGGGCTCTCTGCTCAGCCGGGAGCCTGCTTCCCCCTCTCTCTCTGCCTGCTGCTCTGCCTACTTGTGATCTCTGTCTGCCAAATAAATAAATAAAAATATTTAAAAAAAATAAATTTATGTAGAACTGTAGTAAAAGCCCTTGGTACTTACTAACAATATGATAGAACTTATATTGTTAAAATTAATTGTGTATTGTAATTATTCAACTGTTTTTCTGTTTTGAATTAGCTTTGCAGTATAATAATGAACATTTCTTGATTCCTTACTATGCGCAAGGCTTGGTTTTAAGAGATTCACAAATACAGAGTATTATCCCAGTTAGATTTCCCAATAAACCAATGACATAGGCTCCATAATAATCTCTGTTCAACACAAGAGGAAACTAGTCACAGTGAGTTAAAAAAAAAAAAAAATCAGGAATACATATCAGGAACCACCTGTAAGTGAGCAAGGGATCATTTGGTTTTTACAAATTCTGCCCCCCCAAAAATATTGAAATGCAAAGAAAAGATGGACCCCAGAGTTTAAAGGTAGGGAGTCTAATCCCCCTAGATCTTTAACACACTGTTCAGGGTTTGCTCTGTCCCAGAACATGTCCGTGCAAGGCAGATGGCATTCCACCATGAAGTGGGAATGATATTCCTTGAGATTTGTTCCTAGGGCAGAAAGTTTATTAAAAAATCAAGCCTTATGACTTACCCAGTTGCTCAAAATGAGGATCCCTTTCCTTATACTGTCTTCAGTGAATCTTAACCTTAAAGAATCATGTGCTTTATACCACACTTCTGTCTGGTGAGTAACAATTCCTGCTTATTGGTTCCTTTTTCAGAATCTGGCCACAGCCAGGGGCTATAGAAGGCCATCCAGGCTCATCTTCTTTAGTATTTTAATATTATAGTATATAGTATATAAATTAATATATTAATACATCTTAGGGGTGGGGCCCATTGAGTGAGAACTGCTATGACTACAAGTGTCTCAGCCCCCATCCTTTCCCAGGCTCCAGGATGGTGGTCTTGAGGATCACTGAGGTTGCAGGGATGGCAGCCCTCATGATGTCCTTGGTGATACTGAGCTCCCCTTTGGTTCAGAGCAGAGACACCCCAGGTAAGTGCAGAGCTGCTCCCCTTGGAGAATCCAGCTCAGGGGAACGACCTTAGGAAGTTTTCCATGTGGGCCCAGTCCCTGAGAAAGACTTTAAGGCTCTGACATCATGCAAGCACTGCTATTCTCACCAGAGAGAGGAGATGAGGGTGTGCATGTGAAGGGGACAATGGTACCTGGTTGTCTGGAGTGATTTTGGAGGGACAAGTTTCTCACAAAAGGGTCATCAAAATGACATTTCAACATCCATCATAGATCAGAAAAGGGGGCACCTTGGCTCAGTGGGTTAAGCCTCTGCCTTCGGCTCAGGCCATGATCTCAGGGTCCTGGGATTGGGTCCCGCATCAGGCTCTCTGCTCAGCAAGGAGCCTGCTTCCCTCTCTCTCTCTCTCTCTGCCTGCTTCTCTGCCTACTTGTGATCTCTCTCCGTCATATAAATAAATAAAACCTTTTTTAAAAAATCAGAAAAGGGAAATTAGGGTTAGTCTGCATTGTCCAAGATCTGAAGATCACCCTGTAGAATCAGTGCTCCAGGTAAGGGTCCCTTCCACAGAACCAGGCAGGAACCATCACTGGAACCAGTGAGGAACCAATGATGGCCAGAGTAGCAGAGGAGAGTGATGAGGGCAAGCCATGGTTAAGGCCCATAGGTTACATACTGCAGCTGGCCACATCCCCACATCCCCCATGTCCAGAACTCCCTCATCCAGCACATTAGGATGGGGCCAGAGAGGAAGCAAGAAACAGGAAGTGACATCTCCTCAAGCTGCCCATTATGCATAATTTTATATTATAACTTCTAGGTTTCTGTATCAAGTCCTCATAGTACCTCTTAATTTCTAGTTTCAGTTCACCACCAAGGCCATGTGTAATAAAATGGTGAGCAGTTTATGTTAAAACTCTCCATCTGAGGGCACCTGGGTGGCTCAGTGTGTTAGACCTCTGCCTTCAGCTCAGGTCATGATCTCAGGGTCCTGGAATCGAGTCTCGAATCGGGCTCTCTGCTGGACAGGGAGTCTGCTTCCTCTCTTCTCTTCTTTCTCTGCCTGCCTCTCTGCCTACTTGTGATCTTTCTCTGTCAAATAAATAAATAAAATCTTAAAAAACAAAAACAAAAACAAAAAACAACTCTCCATCTGAAACAGATACTCATCCATATCCCCATACTTTGCTCCAGCCCCAGAGACCCTGCAGGAGACATGACATTAATTGACAATTGAGATTCAGACATCAGTAAACCAGCTAACATGCTGGGATCTGCAAAGATGGTTGCAGGTACCCCTGAAAAAATATGGGGGGAATAAAGTAAAAATAAAGTTTAAAAAAAGGTAAAAATAAAGTTAAATAAATAAATAAGTAAAATTAAGTAAAATTTTACTTAAACGTGGAGGACGAGTGGATGGGGTACAGTATGACGTAGTAGAAAAGAAGACATGAAGTCACTAAAGGCTTAACTTTACTATGGGAAACTCCTGCAAAACAGGAAAATGGATCTTTTCTGCTGCCTGGAGGAGGAGAGAAACCCTGGGGGTCAGAGTCCAGAAGTGGTCAGAATTCTGGGTAAAATAAAAGGGGGTGAACTAAGGAGGTTCACAGCAGATGGAGAAAGTGAGATGAATAGTTCCGAGTAAATCAACCCCATGGTGACACCAACCATCCTTGTGTCCTCAACCCAATGCTGTAGACTAGGGAAGTAACCAGGCAGAGCAAACATTCTCTAAGCCTGACAGGCTCAGGAACTGCAATAACTACATCCACATTACAGGTCCAAGGTATGTGCTCCTAGGGAACCGAAGATACGAGACTGAGGAAAGGCCTGGGAGTCACAAAGAAGGCACCAAAAATGTCTAACACACACAGGTATTTGTTGGTCCTCGGAATTACTTAGAAAGGATGCTCTGTAGGGAGGAGTCTCAGAGGAAACCAGGGCCTATAGACCATCCAGTGTGGGGATTAAATTGTCACCATACATCAATTTTCAGCATTTATTGAGTACTTTCTATGTATGAGGCCCTTCGCAGGTGCTAAGTGCGAGTAGGATCACAGACAGGCA